TCTGGTGATGTAGTGTTCTTGGCTTTTCACAACAAAATGATCAAAGTCAGTTGGAAAAACATCTGAAATGTCCACTTTACAAAAAATCAACAACGCAAAAAAAAGTCTGTCATGTAACCCTTCTGCATCATTTAGATAATGTTGAATTATAGACAGTGAACTGAATTATGGTTCAATCCAATAACTTCTAAATAACTACTAGGCTGTCATCGCCTATATTTTTAAAGGTTTTGAGGTGTGTGCCATCTTTTTTCATTTAGCTGAATGACTCACAATTGGAAATCTGTAAAAATGGAAATGTTGTAGTACAGCTGCATGTTGAATTTGTCCATAAATGCAACATTTTTAGCTTTGTGTTGGTGACGTGGTCTGCTGGAGAGCTCGCTTAAATTTTGCATTTGGCTGAAATCTCTGGTAATCTGTGCTTTTAGTGGCAATACCTTCCGTATGTTGAAAGTTAAGAATATGCCTGTTGAGTGCTGAGGGTGAGGTCAGTGACTGCTTCGAACTCTGACGAATGTTTTCTTATTGCTCTTTGCCCACAGAGAAGGTTGTGTTCAAAGAAGAGGAGTTATTTCAAGAATGTTTCCTGCAACTGAATCTGCTTTTATAATCACAGCAGAGGAGAAATTTCTGGGACACCATCCATCCTTATTTTTGGTGGCTTCAATTTGGTCGACGGTCAGCTGGACGCAGCATTGGAGTGATATTCTTAGAAATGTGTTCTCTCAATTTGCACATCTACAAGTCGGATTATATACATAAAAATAGAACACAGCGTAGAGGAAAACAGCAGTGTAAGAAAATATGTTTAGACATATTTGTTAAGGTATAGATGAACTGTTCTCCCGCAGATCGAAGGGGAAAGGAAAACCTATTTCATTCTGACTGCTTGGGTGTTTTGGCAAGGCTAAAAATCCCACAATCACAACACCACCAAATTAAATCTAATCCATAAATTTGGCCACCCCAGTGTATTTAAAAGGAACCACCATGGTCAAAAAACAACATTCCAGCTTCATTAGTTTACACTGCTGATATTAATACTATCATTACAATTGGACATGGTTTATTTTGACTGCTATTACCACTAATACAATAATAGACCCTAATAGAGGCTAAGCAA